GCTCCTCTCCTCTCATCTCCTCTCCCACTCCACTCCTCTCCTCTACCCTCCTCTACTCTCCTCTACTCTCCTCTCCCTCCCCTCCCCTCCTCATCTCACCCATCACAACAACAGGAGCATCCGTGACAGCGACATCTCCACATGCATGGAGTGGTGCAAGGAAGTATGCATACCCGTCAGCCCTTTCCTCCCTCTTGCTGTCCTCCAGGAAAGTTCCACAACCTCCACGGTCAGTCAGTTTGTTCTGTTCACTGCACTTTCAACACTCATCGAAAGCACTCAGGACAAGAATTGTTCTCCATCGCACAACGTCTGTCTCAGCATCCAAGAAGTTGTCAGTCAGTACATCATGCAGGTTGTCACTGAGCACTCTGACTGCGCTCCTGACATGTGAACAACCAGGTGGAGAAAGGAAAGTCGTACTTCGTCCTCGAGGCAACTTCAGGAACAAACCAGCCAGAGAGCGAGTCCTGGAGGAAGAACCAGCAGGCTGAAAAGCAAGGGGGCAGCCTTTCCCGCAGCTCCTCGCAGACAGACTCGCTCAGCGTCATGTCAGTGAGTTCAAACAACTTCGAAGTTAACAAGGAGTTGTCATATTCAATCCTCACCAAACTTGAATTCCGAGGTTGTACGTCGGGATCAGATGCCAAGGATGTAGAGATTGTGTTGTTGTGCTACTTCCCTACAAGCATCTTGTCGGCCGATGCAAGCAGCAGGCAGGCAGAGAAGGAAGAGGCAGAAAATCTTTCTTCTTGTCTGAACAAGAGCAACAAATCAAAATGGCAAGATATGCAATCAACCCGAATCCTGCAGGTCTGAGAGTTGAAAACAACAACTCATTCCCCTCCATGTTGTCTTCGCCCTTCCATAGGCTTTCTTCATGTGACGAATTGATCACCGTTGGAGATACATCTTCATGTTTGCTGATTCGATACGCCTTCCTCTTACATTTGAATTTTCCCTTGATACAAGTTTTTCCCTTGACGCATCTAAGTTTTCACCATGATGCGTGTACATTGCCTTGGTCCTTGTATAGTTTCTGAATGTATCTAAATCTTCCGCTCACTTTCGTCACAGCTCGATCAAGTACCGGACTCATACAAGCTCTGCGTCGGGGAGAGAGTGAAAGCAATCAGTGCGTACTTGACACCCTTTGCTCCTTGTTGAGATGTTTGCAGGAGGAGCAATATCTGCATGCATCCTCAGTCGAAGTTGTATCCTCTTCAGCCTTGCACCTGAGCTCCTCAACACAGTCTTGCAGCTGCTGCAGGTACAAGAGAAGATCTTGCTCGAGCTTGTTGTTGTCAGCTGATACGCGGGGATAGGAGACAGTTTGGAACAATGCGGATAGAGGGCTGATGAAGGGAAGTTACAACTTCGAACTTGCAGATGGTAAAGCATGAAACCTTGTGATGTTTGTGTTGCTGACTGAGATTTTAGGTGTAGACAAGCAGGTTTGCTATGACGAGATGATCAGAAGGCTATGTCGAAGAAGTACTCTACAGGTGACTTGGATGAAGTAATGTTGGAGATGATGTTGAGATTCCGAGTGCTCCCCATGATATCTTTCCTTGTATTTGCTCTTTCTTCATGTTTTTCATCTCATCCTGAATTTTCAACTTGTCAAGTTCACCCGGATCCAAGAAGACATGTTCATCTCTCATTTTTATCACGACGAGTGGAAAGAAAGGAGGTCCAGATCTCAACTGTACGGCGATGTCAGAGAATCAAAGGCTGTTAACAACGAGGACAAGTAAGAACTTAATGTCTTGTTTGACTTGCTTGATTGCAGTCAATCCCTCACAAGTTTTCTTGTTTTATCTCAGCAAAATTGCAGCCAACGTTGAAGGAAATGAGAAACCAGACACGAATAACACAAACACTCTAGATTCCGCACTCGTATCAAAAAGCTGTTGTCAGCAACAACAGATCTGGAACTTTGATGCAAACACCGTCGAGTCTGCATGGATTGTGGGATTTTTACCAATTTCTTACTTTCTCTCACAGACTCTTTGGCAGATTGCGCGAGTCGGCAATGATACTTGTGAAATTTCGTACCACAAAAGTTGTGAACAAGGGCCCTCATTGCAAGATATTATCAACGAGGTGAAACAGTGAACCTCTTTTGATTGTCTTTCCTCTGAGGGAAGATACATTACCCGCACCCCTCTTCCTCCTGTTGTCTTCCCCTTTCTGAACTACAACGACAACAAAGACAACAACATCATCAGCATCATCACTATTTCTATCATCATCATGATTATCATCACCTTCACCATCACCATCTCCATCATCTCCCATCGTCACCATTTCCATCATCATCATCACCATTTCCATCATCATCATCATCACCACCACCACCATCGTCATCATCAAAGGATTAGTATCTGAATTCTGTGACAGGTTCAAGAAGTCTGCCGGGACGCCAACAGAGCTGTAATGTTGAGCTCAGTGCTGGAGAGCAGAGTTCTCAACGTACAGCTACTACAATGTGAGAGCACGCATTCACAAACACGCTTGTCTTGTTCAAGTGTTTGAGCAGATGCGAGTGAGAGGAAACAAGAGCAAGTTCAGGTAGAAGAGCAAGGTTTGGTCGAGAGGAGCGTCGCAAAGTTGAGAAAGGCTGATCATTCTCCACAGAGAGATCGTTCAAGTGCATGGTGGAAGAGACGGTTGAAGAGACTTTCTTCAAGTGCAAAGTTTGCGCGACTATGAGTGAGTTTGTATCTGCTAGAGAATTCCTCTGCTTCTTTTCCTCTAGCAAACTCCTCCCTTCAGCCTCTCCTCTCCTACCCTACCCTACCCTACCCTACCCTCTCCTCCTCTCCTCTCCTCTCCTCTCCTCTCCTCTCCTCTCCTCTCTCCTCCTCTCCTCCTCTCCTCCTCTCCTGTCCTCTCCTCTTTTCTCCTGTCTCCTACCTCCTCTCTCCTTTCCTCTCATTCCCTAACTTTCCGCGTTACAGCCGTCAACGTGTATGGACGTCTCAGTGCAGAAGACGCGATGAAATTTCTAAGAACAAAAATTCTACAGCCTCACACCATCATGAACAACAAATCAGTCTTCATCTTGCAAGAATCCACAGGAAATGTCTACCTCATCACATCCGAAATTATCTCCAACAGTGAAGACAGAACGATCGACGCCCCTCAACAAGACAAGTCAGACACGTCAACCGAAATTCCTCAACAAGACAGATCAGAAGACGTCTGTGAAACAGAGGAGCAAATCAGAAAGCAGCAAGCTTCTTACGACCACAAAAAGACTTGCCAGTCTTCAATATCTCGCTCCCGCATCGTCTTCTCGCTATTTGGAGTCGATGCACCTTGTACTGACTTTCTCTGCAACTTCTCAGGGATTCTCCAGTCAGCAATTGATGACCTTGCTCAAAGGACTTTAGCTTTCATGCTGATGAGAAATCCGCAACTGAAGGTAGACATTGATGTTACAAACAAGACTCTAGACTGTCCTCCAAGAGTGCGATCCTGGTTGTCTTTGTTCTGCTGTTCGTTTATGCTCTTCTTCATTCTGCTGTTCTGTGTCCTCCAAAGAACGTCATCATCATCACCACCACCATCATCATCTCTATCATCTCAATCATCATCATCATCATCATCGTCATCATCATCATCATCGTCATCATCATCATCATCATCATCGTCATCGTCATGATCATCATCGTCATCATCGTCGTCATCGTCATCGTTGCTTTCACATCACAAACAATTTCTGTTCTGACACATGTTGCAGCTGTCACAATCTGACATTTCCATGATCGCCCCAACAAAAGCCTCAGCGGCAATCTCTGGATCCGTCTTCCTCCCCAAGCATTTTGCCTCTGATTCTTTCCTGCCCCTCTTCATCGAAAGGAGCTTGCAGAGAAATTTCTTCCCGCTGTGTGTTGAGAAGAGTACAAGAAGTCCATCATTCATGATGCTTGATGAACAAGAAATCGCTGACAAGTCAGAAGAGAACAGAGAAGATGCCAGCAGGTTCTCGAACAACTGCCCCAAGATTCTTTTCATCTATGCACATCAGGTGACAATTCAACACGCTTTGCCTGTACATCTCACCTGAACCATCGTCGCATTCAACAAACATCCAGTTGTTTCTGACATTCACATATTCCACAACTGACACTTCTTCCCCCATTCTCAACCTTGTTCTCCGCGCTGAACTTCTCCGTTCCCTCTCATCTCCACTCTTTCTTCTCTTTCCGTCTCTCCCCTCCCCATCCTCCTCCTCTCTTGCTCTTTCTCTCATATTTTCTCTTTTTGTCACTTTTGATCCTCTATCATCCCATCTTTCTCTCTCCCCCTTATCTCCATCCTCACCTCTCAACCCCATGCTTTCCTCTCCTCCCGTTTCTCTTTTCTCATCTTCTTCCTCCCCTCAGGATGACGAGAATGAGTTGTTGTCGAGACATCACGCGGCGAGCATGGCAAGAAAACCTCATCATCTCTCCATATCCAACAGGAACTCCATTGCTGATGTTTCACCGCTCAACGTTCATTCTCCAAACACCGCCATCGCTCAAACAAAGTTCAACCTCGGCAATGGACTGGCCCTGTTTGAGTTGCAGCTGGCAGCCAGGCCGACTCACGTGCCAACAAAGGAGGAGGAGGGCGTCTTGTTGGATCTGCTCGACGATAGTGAATGCATCCGAGCACAGTGGGTAGCAGACGACGAGTCAAGAGGGAGCGAGCCCTCAGAGGCATCACTCGGCAAGAATGACGACGATGGCAATGACGATAACAACAATGATGTCGACGACGATGATGACGATGGTGATGATGTTCGGTTCTGCCGAGTTACCCTATGGTTGCAAGGTCAGGTCAAAGCGAACAACCTGGTCCAGAAGATAGTCTCTTGCTTCGACCAGGCCATGCTGGAGTCAGCATCCGAGATGTACTTTGATGTCCCGCTCTCTCCCTCCCTCCCTCTCTGCAAGGGGATGGTAGAGCAGACGCTGGAGTGCTGGGGGAAACTTTCCCTCCTCCCCTCCTCCCCCATCCAGACGTGCCAAGTCAAGTCTGAGCTCGGTCTTCCTCCCTGGATCAGCAAAATTCTCATCTGCGATATCATGAGGGAGATTTCTTCGATCCTGAAAGACAACTCCTTTATCAAGACATGGCAGATTTGCTCCCCTCCTCCTCCCTCTTCCTCCTCCTCCTCCTCCTCCCCCTCGTGCACTCCCTCCTCTCCCCACAATCCCTCCCCTCCCGACGAGATCATTCCTGTCGTCGTCCGCCGCGACTCGGCCAAGGGCGCCCTGCTCGACCTGTCGGAGCTAGCGGGAGGATGGTTGAGAACGGAACATGTGCAGGGAGGGAGCTGGAGCTATAGATCTGTGTGCTCGAACGTGGAGGGGAGGAAGGACCAGGGAGCAACGAGCACACTTCGCATTCCGACTCTCCGCGCGCGGTTGAACGATGGGGATGCGATCATGCCGAAAGTTGTTCTGCTCACGGCATGCAAGCAGCAAGTCCAGATGTTCTTTTACGGATGCGAGGTACTGATTGTGATGATTTTGCTGTTGATGTTGTTGGTGAAGAGGAGGAGAAGATGTGGAATTGATGACGATGACGATGATGATGACGATGACGATGACGATGACGACGATGAGGGTAAAGGGGGAGATCACGATGACAATGGACATTGATGATAAGGATTGAAGAAGGAGCGGAGACAATGGCTAAATATGATGATTCTCTATACTACATTTGTTCTCTTCTTTCTCACATTGATTGCTAATGGTTTCGTGGTCAGATTGAAAGCACTTGCGCAAAGATGCATGATTTCATCAAGAGCTATATCTTGAAGATTGAGTGTTTGCAATCAGCGATGCAATATGCACTTTGCTGCAAGATGGGACTGCGGCAGATATGCCTGACTCCGACGATGGTAAGTGCGTGATAGCGATCAAGGAGGGAGAGGGAGGGGGGAGGGAGCGAGAGGGGAAAGGGAGACCGAGCAAGCTTGGAGTAGTATTTCAGAGAGGGCAGCAGCAGCAGCAGCAGCAGCAGCAGCAGCAGCAGCAGCAGCAGCAGCAGCAGCAGCAGCAGCAGCAGCAGCAGCAGCAGTTCTCAACCTCAGGGTCTGACTCCCTCCTGATCTCTCGCAACAGACCAACCTCGGCTTCAAGGACGTCGAGGAATCGTTCCGGACGCTAGAGGAAACTTTCCACACTCCTTCAAGGCAGGAGCCGAGCTTGACTTCCCAAGGGCTCGACGAACCCTCCCACCATCTCCCCCACGAGGGCTCGACGCATGCAGGCAAGACGTCGGTGGGTGTCAAAGAGATCATCAGCAAGAGGTCAGCTAGGGCGTCAGCGAGGATCCTCAACTTTCATTCAGCATCGCACTCACGATTGCTGAGCCAAAAGCTGCCAGGGAAGCAAGAGGCTCTCGCCTCCCCCTCCTCCCTCCAGTCTCCCGGAGCGACACAGAGCAAGAAGGCTGAGATGGAGTCGCAACTGTCCAGCAAGCAGTCGTACCCCGATAGATGCGCGCAGTCCGCCTCCTGTCGCATGCTCGACCCTTGCTTGTTCCACGGTGAGCGCTCGTTGGTGTTCGACCTGTTGATGACAGTGACATGTCTTCTAGCGTCCATGATGTGCTTGGACGGCGCAGCATGCGCTCCTCCTCATACCCTTCAGCTCGTCGTTGCGCTGAATCGCGAGGTCAACATGGACCTTGTTCCTTGCAACCTGGGCATCAACCAGATCGTTGACCTGCACGCGGAGATGTCAACTAGGAAGGGCTTCGTCCACCTGCACTCTCTACAGGTACTTGTTCTCCTCCTCCTCCTCCTCCTCCTCCTCTTCCTCCTCCTCCTCCTCCTCCTCCTCCTCTTCCTCCTCCTCTTCCTCCTCCTCCTCCTCCTCCTCCTCCTCTTCCTCCTCCTCCTCCTCCTCCTCCTCCTCCTCCTCCTCCTCCTCCTCCTCCTCTCTTTCCCCTCAATAAACCATGACACCTGAAACCTTTCAGAACTGGAAATCAATGTTTCCCTCCCTGAGCTGCAAGCCTCCCAGCGTCAGGCATGTCGTAGCACAGACCAAGGCTGAGCATGAGGCGATTTTGATCATTGAGCTGATCCCTCGATCCGATCACATCGCACATGAAAGTCAGAGACAGCAGCAGGAAGTCAGTCAGACTGCTCCGTCCCGCACCGCCACCTCGTCGCTGCCGTCGTCACAGGCCAAGAGCAGGAGCAGCGAAGGCTCGTCGAGGGCTCAGGAACTTGTAGACTGCAGGCAACTAGGACGAACCGGCTACTGCAGCTGCAACCTCTACCGAGTATTGACTTCCGAGTCTGCATGCCTGCCTGCTTCCCACGGAGAGCAGGACGCCTCCTCCTCCTCCTTCTCCTCCATCAGTCAGCTTGTCGGGAGCAACCGGGTGGCGGATGAGCTGCTCTTAGACACTATGAAGTTCAACATGGAAGATGCAGCGCTGGAGCGGGTGAGATCTTGATCCCTGCCTCCTCCTCCTCTTTCACCACCACCATGGAGATGGGCTCAGCGCAAT